AAATATATAAATAAATAAATAAAAATTTTAAAAAATTTAATTAAACAGGAAACTGCAGTGGCTCAATTGCAGTGCTGAAACCTGTGACAGTTGATGTAGAGATAGTAGTTTGTGGTAGAGAGTTCCAGAGAGCAATATGGTTTTGGGAAAAATCTTGATTGAAACGTCTGGGTCCTAGCAGGTTGTCTGAAACTTGAATTAAGGCTTCTTTAATGGAAAAAGCAAAATAAGCGTTCTTACTATCGCCATCATCACTATCAATACTGTATTACAGTAAAATTAATATAATAAATATTCATCTTCATAATCAACATCATTTTGTTAGCTGATCATCTTGATGGAACTTCATAGTTCATCTAAGCATATTATTACTGTATACTGCTTCTATTCAATGTTCAACCAAGCAGGCCTTACTGATAGGTCTACAGGGTAGCCTACTACTGTTACATCTAACTTGTATTCAATTCATATACATTTTCTTCTTTTTTTTTTTTTAAAGAATTTGGTGAATGTCAAGATAAAGCTAAGTTGGGAGGATCATAATCTGAAAAGATGTTAAAAGTTAAAAGAATATAAAGTAAGTACTATAGGCATACTATAGACATGAGAGTGCTGTGGGTGAATAATTGTGTTACATGACACAGACCTCAGTGGCAGTGCCAGCAGGGGGTCACAGGAGAAAATTCCAGGCATGGACCACCACTACGTACGCCACAGCAAGGTCTTATAACAAAGTCACTGTGATTGCCAATGCCTTGGTCTAAAAAGCATTTTGGGCCTTCTAAACAATAACATCTCTCCCCATGACCCCAACAAGTACTTTTATTCCAAAATCCTGACCGAGACTCTTGGCAGCCGAATGTCTCAGACCCCGGTCCTGTCGGATTTGACCGTTGTGGGTAAATTTTTGTATCTAGCTATTCTAAGGGGTCATTCAAGTATTATGTAACACATTTTTTGGCAAATATTGACACCCCCCACCCATAACACTCTGTAACACTTTTCCAAACCCCCTCTAAATGTTATGTAACTCTAGAACCACCACCCCCCCCCCCACCTTCCGAACATCAACAATTTTAATAAAATCAGATGAACAACATTAAATATCAGGATAAATGTCCTCCACTACAAATTTGTCCTACATTTCAAATTTGTAGGATGTTTTGTTATTTTTTGATATAGATGTAACTTCATTATTGATTTCACAAAATTCAACACAACTGTGTTACATTACATTTTGTTACACTGATGTAATATGTTTCAATAAAGTAATATCATACAAGTTTGAATATTCAATATTTCTTCTCTTCCCATGAAAATTAATCTTCTTATGCACTTCAAGCAACACCCCCCACCCCTATGTCACACACTGTAACATTTTCCACTATACCCCCACCCAAATCAGCGTTACATAATACTTGAATGACCCCTAACAGACATACAGTTAATAAAAAGGGCAAATGGGGCCAACCAATGTTTCAGAATGATATTGTACGCCTCAAAACAACTACATTATTTGTAAGATATGATCTAGATTGGTTTAAATGGTACTCTACTGAAAGGAAAAATTGAGGGAGAAAATGGTAGAATATCATTTTATCAGATCCAACACATTTAATTAACTCTATGATATGCAATCGTATATCCCCTGTCTCTTATACACATCTAGATGTGTATAAGAGACAGGTAGAAATCTGTCTACGATGCTTTTCACTTTGAATCACTTCACTCGTACACAAAAATGGATAGAAAGATTGAAACTTACGATATCCTTCAGTAAGGATATACACATCACAGATTGTTCCTATTCTAGTTAATATACACTCCATTGTCTCACTGCCAATTGTCCCATTTTCATCATATAATATTATCATAGTATACCGAAATAACATGTTTATTTGACAGTCAAAGTCTGTATCGTTGGCAGTATGTTTTCTTGCTGTCAATATATGAGATGTGCTAAATTGCTCATTACTTCTTGAATCTAAAATCAGCATGTAGTAAGGATCATGAATATATGGTTGGGTATATCCAACGTTAAAAATATTGTAAAGCTCATGAATATTCATGAAGCCATCACTGCTTTGAATATCAGGTGGTGTCTGAGGGAGTGGGAATCCGTTTGTATTTGTAGGTAAACTTTTTAAAAATCCAGACTGATCAGGTTCATCTACTGATATTTGTTTCTTGGTCAAAACTGGAATCCTAGTAACATGTAAGTTGGTTACATCATCTATGTCTGCAGATCTTTGGTGAACTGACTTATTTACAATACCATCATTTCTTTGAGATCTAGAAAGAGCAAAAATATTTGATAACATTATTTTAAAATAAAAAAAGAGGATAAATGATAAAGAACAGAAGGCTTAACAAGCCCAGAATCTTAAATTTAACAGAAACAATTACGTAAAATCATTTCACAGCTTTCTTCTTCTTCCGGTAAGTACAGGCCTCTCTGATGTGAGGATCACCGTACTTGTTTAAGAGGAGGAAAAATATTTAAAAATAAATTTAAAAAAAAAAAAAAAAATTAAAATTAAACTAAAAAATAAATAAATAAATAAATAAAAATGTTAACAAATTTAATTAAACAGGAAACTGCAGTGGCTCAATTGCAGTGCTGAAACCTGTGACAGTTGATGTAGAGATAGTAGTTTGTGGTAGAGAGTTCCAGAGAGCAAAGGTTTTGGGAAAAATCTTGATTGAAACGTCTGGGTCCTAGCAGGTTGTCTGAATCTTGAATTAAGGCATCTTTAATGGAAAAAGCAAACTAAGCGTTCTTACTATCGCCATCATCACTATCAACACTGTATTACAGTAAAATTAATATAATAAATATTCATCTTCATAATCAACATCATTTTGTTAGCTGATCATCTTGATGGAACTTCATAGTTCATCTAAGCATATTATTACTGTATACTGCTTCTATTCAATGTTCAACCAAGCAGGCCTTACTGATAGGTCTACAGGGTAGCCTACTACTGTTACATCTAACTTGTATTCAATTCATATACATTTTTTTTTTTTTTTTTTAAAGAATTTGGTGAATGTCAAGATAAAGCTAAGTTGGGAGCATCATAATCTGAAAAGATGTTAAAAGTTAAAAGAATATAAAGTAAGTACTATAGGCCCTTATTTTTAAGGGGTAATGTATTACAAAACACCTACATTTTTGTTGTTTTGTCACTTGAATGTTTACAGCAACAGGAAGATGTTACAATGACACCCTGCTTGCATGAAGTGTTTACTTGTGTCTATTATTTAGTAGTAAGAGCTGATATTGTACCAAAGCTGCACAAAGTGGCAGTTGAGCCTAAAAAATAAGTATTCATTAGACATGAGAGTGCTGTGGGTGAATAATTGTGTTACATGACACAGACCTCAGTGGCAGTGCCAGCAGGGGGTCACAGGAGAAAATTCCAGGCATGGACCACCACTACGTAAGCATTTTGGGCCTTCTAAACAATAACATCTCTCCCCATGACCCCAACAAGTACTTTTATTCCAAAATCCTGACCGAGACTCTTGGCAGCCGAATGTCTCAGACCCCGGTCCTGTCGGATTTGACCGTTGTGGGTAAATTTTTGTATCTAGCTATTCTAAGGGGTCATTCAAGTATTATGTAACACATTTTTTGGCAAATATTGACACCCCCCACCCATAACACTCTGTAACACTTTTCCAAACCCCCTCTAAAACCCCCCTCTAAATGTTATATAACTCTAGAACCACCCCCCCCCCCCCCACCTTCCGAACATCAACAATTTTAATAAAATCAGATGAACAACATTAAATATCAGGATAAATGTCCTCCACTACAAATTTGTCCTACATTTCAAATTTGTAGGATGTTTTGTTATTTTTTGATATAGATGTAACTTCATTATTGATTTCACAAAATTCAACACAACTGTGTTACATTACATTTTGTTACACTGATGTAATATGTTTCAATAAAGTAATATCATACAAGTTTGAATATTCAATATTTCTTCTCTTCCCATGAAAATTAATCTTCTTATGCACTTCAAGCAACACCCCCCACCCCTATGTCACACACTGTAACATTTTCCACTATACCCCCACCCCAATCTGCGTTACATAATACTTGAATGACCCCTAACAGACATACAGTTAATAAAAAGGGCAAATGGGGCCAACCAATGTTTCAGAATGATATTGTACGCCTCAAAACAACTACATTATTTGTAAGATATGATCTAGATTGGTTATGGTACTCTACTGAAAGGAAAAATTGAGGGAGAAAATGGTAGAATATCATTTTATCATAATAAGATCCAACACATTTAATTAACTCTATGATATGCAATCGTATACGACTTTTAAAAAAAAGGCCTGGCTGCTTTATTAATACACATTAATACTCACTCAGTTTACGCGTACACTCTAGCCCAGTCTGTATTAGCCTATGTTTAGGCTGTTTGGCCTAGCTAGGCATAACCCTACACAGATTCAGTCAGTCTAGCCTATTTTTTGATAATCCGGCAAAGAAAGGAGGTAGGCCTAGCCAGCAACCCCTAGGCTAGGCTTATGCAACGTCGAAGTCATCACATTATAATAGCATAATCAGGGAGTTGTTAACTCCCTGGCATAATTGACGTGACTGTGTTTAAGAAACTAGGTCGCTTTCCTTGCTTCGTCTGTGTTTGATTATGCTTAGTAGCAAGGCAACCAACTTTTTTTAACTCAACAACCCAACTCAACTGTGTATGTAAACAAACGTAAATTATTACTATGGGGCGCCTTTGGTGCCATCTATTACACAATTTTTCACGTGTATAATGATTTTTAATGAAAAAAAAAATTGCGCTTTTTGATATTTTTTTAAAACTTGTATTGTTTATATAGATTATTTCAGCTTCTGAATATTGCAAGGCTCAGTTTAATGAAATGAATCTACTGGCGCAGTCGATTGTTTTTGGTTTGTATAAAGTTACTTAGCAACTGTTACGCTTGATTGAATAACAGTGCCTGGGTCAGCAAAATAGGATACTACCACTGACCAGTAATTTACATAGGTCTATGGTCTGATCCTAGCAGAAAGGTAGTAAAATAATTAGATTTTTTTACTTGTTTTAGTTTGGCATCGTGCTAAACATGATTCACCAGCCTGCTGTGATAAACAAAGGTAAGTCAATAAAATAGTAGGCCTATAAATATAGGCCTAATTCTTCCCCAGCTCAGCCGAACGGGGTGCTCAGCACAGCAGCAACTTAACTTTGAGCGCCGCTCCAAATACTGCTGGTCTTGGACAGGTATATCAAAATGATCTGTCAAAGCCGAATCACGTCTTTTTAATTAAAACGTGTACTCAAGTTAATTTTTTTTATTTGGAATGGAATTTTGATTATTTTTTTAATTTTCACAATGGAAGAGGGAGGCTGATCAAGCGCAAAATTGTCTTAAAAAATAAAAATATGTATAATTGCAATATATAGGCCTAAATAATTTAATTAATCTAAGCAAATAAATATTGTCATCACTCACTTGTTACAATGTATCACAATTATTACTATCATTGTAAATAATATCAACATTATTATTAATATAGTCATATTTAAGGTTACATATTTTTAAATCATTATAAGGGCCTACAGTATGTCTATACCCTGGGGGTATATACATTAAAATTTCAATTTATGGTAACAAAAATACTAATAATTGTAATTTGTCTTTACTTTACTTGTCTGATTCATAATTTCTAAATGTTTCTTATAGGCTACACAGTAGGACTATTTTATTGTTGATATTTGATCAATAACTGCATTATTTGTAAGAAACTTTTTTGATGTAGTACTGTAATTTGTATTTGCCATTTTGATTGATTTTTTTTATTGTACTTGTTTTTATCTTTTTTTTTTTCTCTTTTGTGGGGTAACCACCACCACCTTTATTCATTTTCATACAATCAAGACATTTTGATATTCATTTTTCTGGGTTTTCATTTTTATGTTCTTACACACTTTTTTTTAAGCTTACATTCTTTTTGTTAAAGCGTATCTTTGGATAATAACACACTCATTTCTATAAAATAGTTGAATATAATAAAAGCATGAAATAAAATTTTATATAAAAATTATAAAAATTATATAAATAAATGCTTTTTACATATCACTCATTGACTATCACTGCGTTATATCTGAACAAGATATAGTAATGTTTGTACCTTTTTTTTTTTGTTTTTATTTTTGTTTTTATCTTTGTAAAAATGGGTTTTAATGTACAGCACTTTGATCTTTTTTGTAAAGGTGCTATATGAATGCTTCTTAATAATAATATTATCATACATACATACAAAAGAGGCAATAGAAACCAAAAAAGTAATCATTATCATTATAATTTATTATGTAGTTAATTCTAATGGTTTAGTTTTCATAAAAATAAAGTTAAATGAGTTTGTATTACTTTTTCATAGGTACTGAAGGCAATGAATGGTACAGTAGTACTTTATAATAAAAATGGCAGATGAAAGGAAAGTTGAGGAGCCATTCGCTGAAAGAAAGAATGGCAGAGACAACATAGACACAAATAAAGAAAAAGTATCTGAAAGATACAAAGAAGTTGCATTCAGTGCAGAAATAGAAGTGCACAAATTTATTCAAGCAGATGACACTGGCAATGAGACAATTTTAAACCAATCAGATTTCCCAACTAATGAATCTGGTAAAGGTTTAGATGACAATTTAAAGTAATGTGACACAAAAGATGCCATTGGTCAAATGTTTGGTAATGGGGACGAATGTACAAAGGACGACCAAGTAGATGGTGTGCGAAAAGTTGACGATGGCCATCTGGGTATAAAGGATGACCAAGGTGTGCAACATGTTCGTAATGGTGACCAAGGTGCAGTAGATGACCAAATAGATGTGGAAGATGCAAGTAAAGATAACATAGGTTTAAAGCATGATAACATAAATGGAAAAACTGTTGGTAATAGTGGCTACGGTACAAAATATAACCAATTAGATGTGCAAAGTACAGGTAAAGATGGCCAACTAACAAAGGATTACCAAAAAGAAAATATATGTATTCATAACCAAGGTACAATTGCTTACCAAGTTAATGGGAAAAATGCTGGTAATGATTACCAATGTACAAAGGATGTTGAAGTGTATAGGCACAATGCTGGAAATTGTGACCAAGTTGCAGAACTAGTTTTAAGAAAAACAAGCCAGGAGCAAGATGACTTAAATTACTCCGGAATTAAAAAAAAAACAAATCTAAACAGAAATGAAGAACACACAAAATGAATGTTACTCAAAAGAAAGAAGTTCTAGGCCTAGGTACAGAATGTATATTTGGTAATAGTATCAAAATAGTTAATGGCATTGAACAACCTTCAGACAATACAAAATTATCAGAGGAGCACATTGAAGAAAACATAGAAAGAGAGGTAATAACTCCAAGACAAAGAATTTTATTGCTACTGATGATAATGACAGTGGCCATGGCTATGAAGATGGAATGGTAGATTTAGAATCTGATGAACATGCTGAATTTGTCCATGATGGTGATGATGATATTGAAGAGTTACAGAAACTGATAGAAGAACATCATCTCACAAAATGTGACAGTGAGGCAGAACTATCAAATACAGGTATAATACTGTACATATCTTTTAAAATACGGGGTTGTGTAACTGAGACCATGTTTTTCTAATCTACTTAGTAAAGAAATTGTGTTATTAGCCAAGCAAAGAGGCTTGTCTACTGTGTCCCACTCTCTTTCTGACCTGACTGAGGAGAGGATACATAATTAAAAATAACATGAGCAAGGGATTTAGTTAGAAGTTGCTAATTTTAACCCTCAACAATGGGATTGAGGTCATGACTCCTTCACCTGTAACTGACTCAGTAAATTGAAATCCTGTATTTCAACACTTATAGTGTTAGTGACTATTATTAAAGGACTATATTATTTTCTCGTATTGTTAAAAATAACCAATTCCTATGATTATGCGTTACTTTCAGGTAATAGGATGTTGTTGACTCAGGAGGACCAGTCAGAGAAACCTTACTATGACAAGGTGCCACCAATATCTGCCAGCAAGAGGCCAGGTCAACGACTGACACCAAATAGAGCTCTTATTGCCCAGATTCCAACATCATCTGTAAAATGGAACTTAAGTGATGGGAGAATATCTACACAGCAGTCTGGAAGACTCCCACCAAATGTCATTAAAATGTCTACTGTTATGTTATCAGCAAAGTAAGTGCTTAATATTACTACATAATATGCTGTTCAAATTCTTAACCATGATGTTGTGGGTTCAAACCCCATGCTCAGGGACCGATTTACAGGTATGGACCCCCCCCCCCTTCCTTTTGGAAAGTCAAAAAAAAAGAAAAAAAAAAGAAGAAATTTATCGGCCAAAGGCCTCAGAGGTTGTTTTCAAGCGTCTAACACAGAAATTTTGCGGGGGAATCCCCTGAGACCCCTAGGGTACTGTTTTCTCGATTGGCCCCACTTTCTTCCCCCTTCCGGCCCCTTTTGGACATGTCTGGATCTGCCCCTGATGCTGTCTAATTCATGTGTGTCCTTGAGCATAGAACTCTATTGCCAACAAGGAGTATAAACAGTGGCAGATCATGGGGTTCAAAACTGGCACTCATCCCCAGCAGTAGCAAAAAAATCCCAGGCGTCTACTGCCACCACCCCTACCTTGACCCCACAATAAGGATGAGAACATCACAGCCCTCCCTAGGCCATATATTTTTGATTGACAATTTCTACTCCTTCCCTGCAGAAACAGTCTGGATTCATCTCTAAAAAATGAGTACCTTGTAAATTATTGTAATTATGTGCAGCGTAGAAAATTGTTTTTGAATCCAGTAATTTGTGTTTTAACATTCATCATTATCTTTTGAGGTTCTCTAAAAATGGTATGAATTAATTTACTCAGCTTTTCTTGTAACACTAGCAATGTAATATTTGTATTTGTTCATATATTTTTTGACTAGATATTTGTTGTTGTAATTATTTCTTCAGGAAGAGACTACTGAGTGTGAGCCAATACTATGAAGACAAAAAACATGCTAAACTTCTGAGTAAGTATTTTCTCAGGAACAACCACATTTAATCCATTTTCTGTTATTTTTTCTTCTGAGTTTCATAGAAAATGCATGTAGTATGTCCGTGTGAGCAATGAACCATCAGGAAAAATGATTGAGTCCCTTGTAAAATATACTTCCATTCAGCTACTGTTCTTGTGAACTAACTCTTTCTCAGTATTAACAAAAGTAATACTGTTACATTCAGGCTGTCAATGAACCAGTTGTGTGGTCTTTAATAAATAGAAACACACAGATTTATTGACTGCAAGTGGATAAAAAAAAAACACTTTTAGCCAAAAAAAAATTTGTTGTGTTGATCAAGCAAGATGACTAAGAATAACCCACAAAAACATATTTCCAGCGGTGGTCTTCCGGTTCTGTTTTGTTTGGGCAGCACAAAGTTGTTTCTTTTTTAGCGGGACATACAGTAAAAGTGGCTGCCTTTCGCTGCCACATTTCTCCCGTAATATGTAGACTTAACTGTCAATACAGTCCAAATTTGTTTGCTAAAATTGCATTTGGTTGGTAATTTTATTGACTTGCGATTCTTGTATTTTTTAATCTGTCCACATTTTAAAGAATATGATTAAATGGTGTGTATCATTGGCGATTGTTAATATGCAAGCCTAAAATAAATAACAAGCAGGGAAAAACAAGGAATTGACCTGTTTACATATATATATATATACTACTCCTGACTAACTCATAGGGTGAAAAATCCTTTGTGTATATTTCTCCTTAACGTCGTTAAAATTTCCCCTTAGCGGCAGTATTTTCACCTTAAGGTATTATTTCTAACCCTTTCCATTGTTATCGTTTCCCCCTATGGTAGTATATAGTCCTATAT